TGTTTTCTCCGTGTAAAAAATCGGGTTACAGAAATTTGAAAGATCTGAAAATAAAATTTCCACAAGTATTTTCAGAAGGTCTTGGATGTTGCAAAAAGGCAAAGGCAAAATTTGAAGTGAAGGAAAATGTAAAACCTATTTTCAAGCGAAAAGAATGTGCCATTTGGTGTTTTGGAACAGACTGACAAGGAATTGGAACGGCTTGAAATTTAGGAGTTATTTCACGCATTGAATTTTCAGAGTGGGCCTGCCCTGTTGTATATGTTAAGAAAAAGAACAAGGGTGGAACGTTTAAGTCAGATCCCAAAAAAAAAATATTAATTCCTCCGGAATTAATCTCAAGGGAGGTGTTGTGTAGGAACCACCACCCCTCTTGAAGATGAACTCGTCTACAAACAAGGACGTTAAAAGAGTGGCATGTCAAAAGACAGTGTCGGAGAAGTTCTTGAGCTGAGTACATTTATAGACTACTCAGGCGATATCTGTACCAACTTACCAACCGAATAAACCCCATTTTATTGTTACATGTTATTTGGCGTTTGTCTTTATTAACCCCAAATTAACATCATAACAGTCTTGTTCCAAATCTAATCCTCGCTTTTTAAAACAATAAACATTGCTGAAGAGTGAAGGTAGTTAAAATATAAGCGGTGTCATGGGAAAAAGAGCCCTCTTGACACTCCGTCTTATTGCAGGCATGAAGGTCCATGTTTGACGAAATCTTCATTAAAAAACACTTAATCCGACATTGACGAGTATTCTTTGTTGACGGTGAACATGTAAATGATTCTTATTGGCCTACAATGAGCCACCCAGGAGCCTTCTGCCGGCAGGAAATTAATCCTGAATCATGCTTCGTCGCGACGTTATTTTTCTTAATTCTTTTCTGTTTTATTCGATGTCAGTAGAAAATTTGTTTGTTTTTTTTACATTGAAAATGTTAGGGATTTATTGTCAATATTATCTACAATGTTACGAAGCTTGTACATCATTAATGACTAAGCTCCTCTTTTTTATTTTTATTTTTACCGAGTAAAAAATTTATATACCGATGATGTAATTTCAACAGTTCCGAAGGTCAGACGAAGATCTTTGACGATTGTCTTTATAACATGCAGAAATTTGAAACCTGTCCTATATTTATATGTTCGGACTATTGTCTTCATCTTTGTTGCAATATTCACGACATCTCGACCGTTGTACGCTCCGGCCTTCTTCAGGTGACTGGAATTTCGAACCGAACCCTTCATTTTCGTCCACCGGTGTAGATTGTTCTAATTCATGCCTCTTCCAGATATCTCAGTATCAGTTATTTCCCTTTAACTCAACTCTCCAAGTCTCTTTTTTTTTGTTCACCTTTGCTATGGCCAAGTATTGAAGTCACAACTCTTTGGGTCAAGTCACTCGATTACCAATGCTTTTATCCACTGAGCCATGTGTCCTTGAGGACACATCGACCTCGCTGGACGAAAAAAGTGTACAGTTTGAAATCCCAATCACTGGAGAAGGCCAGAGCGTACAACGGCTGGAACATCGTGAATATGACAAACCCTGAAGAAGGCCGGAGCGTAAAATGAGGATAATAGTCCGAACAATGTAAATACTGTAAATAATTACAATACCTAATCTCAGAAATAGAGCCATACATTGAAGAAGTCCAGAGCGTACTACATCCGAAGCGTTGTGAATATGACAACAAAGATTGGGATAATAGTCCGAACAATGTAAATACTGTAAATAATTACAATACCCCATCTCAGAAATATAGACAGATATGTCCTTTTAGATACCAACATTTGAATACGGCAGTCGGCAAACTTTTTTAAAAGTATTCTAAACTGGAAATATATTTGAACTTGCAGGTCAGAACAAACTGAAAGTAAAATCCTGGACAAAAAAAAAAAAAATAAGATGTAGTATTAAAGATGACAAATCCATGAAAATGATGAAATTCCTTTTCTGGAAAAAACAAAAAAAATCAAATCAAATCGTGATACAAAATTTGTGATTCCTATCATCAAAAGTGACTGTAAATAATAAGTAAGACTTAACTGAAGGTAAATTTAATGTTTTATCTTTGAAAACACCATCTTACATAAATACTGAAATTAATTGTGAGTCAAAAGATTTTGAAACAGGCATTTTTTAAACAATGTTATAGATTAAAATTTCACATCACAAAGTTTTAATACAATTGTCAAACGGGATATTAATTCCCATTCACTAATATCTGTCTCTGTCTCTGTCTGTCTGTGTGTGTGAGATGTGAATATATATATATATATATATATATATATATATATGAGAGTTGGAAAATGGGCAAGTCTGAAGATTGCTTGAGGCATGAAATCGACAGTCTCTATACAGTTTTGATACCTATGTCCACTTTGTTTATCTTGACAAACACTTTATCTCTGATACTGAGCGCTCTTCTCTCATAAATCTTAAACAATATATTTATATACAAATATCTGTATATATTCGTGTGTGCGTGTAGACTTTACATTGTTCATATTAATATACAATAAAAATATCTTCACACACCTATATATATATATATGTGTGTGTGTGTGTGAAGAAATATAGTTTTAAGGTGGCTATATTTAGGATAAAAGTGCTCAATATCAGAGATAGAACGTATATAAATATATAAATTGAACATTGAAATAAACGCTCCAGATTGATTAGGTTGTTTTTGCTACAACGCAATCGTCAGACCTGAATGTTGACTTCAATAACATCCAATACATATTAATATTGTTATATATATATATATATATATATATATATATATATATGTGTGTGTGTGTATGAGAGAAAGAAAGAGATAGGAACATCATCAATTTTAAAGAGAGACACTCATCAAAGGAAAATATGAGTCATCCGTGAACTAAAGTTTGGGGAAATATTGATTATTTAATGAATGCATCCTTTAATACATAATCGACGCTTCCTTGGCATCCTTGGTCGCCCTCACTCTTTCAGGTATAGAAGTGACAAGCTCTGTAATCAGGGACTGGGGAATTTCTCAATGTTGTTCTTTTCACAAGAAGCAGGTTCCTTAAGCACAGATTTGAGGAAATATCGGTCCTCAGAATGTCTAGTAGTGTTCATGTTCAGTGACTTATTTGCCTATGGTAGTACTCGAACCCGATTTTGCACCAGACACGTTCGGGTCGCATTTAAAGCATGGTACTGAGCGGTATCCGTACTTTGTTTTGATCTTTCAACATATTTATGCAGCCTTGTCGATTATAACATATTTCCCATTCTACAGCCTCTTTCCCACAAGCCTATCGCTATTTCCATGGCAAATGTTCAAAATGGGAACAACCTAGTTTAAAGTTCATACATTTATCACCTAGAACGAAAAAAATTACATCCATGGAATTGAATCAGCCAAAAATAAATATCTGTATTCCAAATGTCAGAAGTTTATTTCAGACAGCTTCTTTTCCCCAAGAAGAAAACGAGGAAAAGAAAACAGTTGGATGTAACAGAAAAGACCAATCTCAACTACCTCAAGTCAATGGTCTATCGTTATATATCCCCCTTATCGTCATAATCTTTATTTCTTTCTACCTCCTCTTACATTTATATCATAAAGCTCATTTTAACCTATTAGCTTGAGCGGCTCTTTAGTCTTGTATTAGGTAAACTTTAGTAAAAAAAAGTATCATTGAATTGCGGATAGATCACTTTTAATTTTAGATCTGATGAGAGGCCCTTAATGATAGAGGAACAAAATAAATTTACATTCAAATATTCGGAATAGTAGAGTTCATCTTTGAGGAATTCAGATTACGAACAAGATAAGTGCACATTTAATTTTATTTATTACTAAAACATGGCCCACTGAATAAAGACGTTGGTTAGATCCAATGACTAGACCCAAAGAGTTGTGAGTTCAATACCAGGCCACAGTGGTGAACCAAACTTGGAGAGTTGAGTTAAAGGGAAATAACTTAGATATCCGGAAGAGGCATGGCTCGTGGAACTAGAACAATCTGACCCGGTTAACGTAATAAGGGATTCGGTTCGAAATTCCAATCACTTGAAGACGGTCGGAGCGTACAACGGCCGAAACATTGTGAATATGGAAATGAAGATGATGGTAACAGTCGGAATAATGTGAATAATGTAAGTAATAATAATACCTCATCTCAGAGATATAGGCAGATATTACAAGTTTTTGTAGTCATTTTTCTTTTGCAATATATATTCTATTTTAGTATTGTCTAATTTTTGTAGGAATATGATTGGTTTTTATGCTATATTGATTAATATAAGTTTTTTATGGTAATATTGCCTGATAAATTGCATATTAGTATTCGTGAAAGCGTTGTAGTAGTTGGACGGATGAATGTTAAATGTTTCTTTATTAACACTGGAGATACAATTTCCTAATAGATATAAAAGAAAATTCATATATTACATTGGTATTATGCAGTGTGTTTGTGGTGCGTAATATAAGTAAATAACAAAGAACTGTTATGTAATATGTACTGAACTGTTATGTAATATCATTCCTCGTATATGGCAGCGAATGCTGAACAATCTCTTCAAAGATAAAGACGAGACTTGAAGCAACAGAAATGTTGTTGTACAGAAGGATGCTGAGAATACCATGGACTGAACATGTGAGCAACGACGAAGTTTTAGAGAAAATAGAAACAAAAAAGATGCTTACCATTATATTTATCCCAATCCTTAAGTCATGTGAACGATCTATGTATTATATTCTTTATAACTATTTGGTTTTGTTTATAAAATAGATATATTTGATTGCAATAAAATGTTTATATTATTTTGTCATGACTGTTGTGTGTATTTTTGCTATTCCCTTTCCTTAATTTAATTTGTTCATTAACTATATAGCTTGGAAAAAAACATTGTTTATTTGTGTTTGTTTTCCTTGACTGGGACCCTTACAAAATAGTCTGTGAGGAAAAGGAAATCGGGTAGACCGTATTGATCAGTTTTTTATGGTAAACCTGGCTTACGGCCACATGACATTGAAACACCGATTCCCGTACGATTAACGAAGTTAAGCAACATCGAGCCTGGTCAGTAGATAGATTGGTGACCAAGCGGGAATTCCAGGTACAGTAAGCTCGGGTGTGCAGGTGGTGTAATGGATAATGGCTCTGAATTGATAATCGGAGAGCAGAGTTCCAATTACAAGTGGGTTCGTTATATTAATTTATGCGCAAATACTCTTGAGAAAGGTATGGATCTACCTCTTCTACCCCCAGCTATGGGTTGATTAGTAAGATTGCATTACTAAATCATTATCTTCAAAAAAAATTCTTACAATCTAAAAATATTTTCTGGCTTTAGGTTTTTCCTGCAAAAGGTTCATAAGCCGTAGGAAACGAATCAGCCAAACCAATCTATATATAGACATTTAATGAGGCAAGAGTTTAGAATTTAATTTTTTATATAAGCTTATGTTGAATGTTTAACTATTAGAATGTATCAAGACATCACGAAATGGGATTATAATATTGATATTTTTCATAGTTAAAGCAGAAGACAAGATTTAACCCAAAGAATTGTGAGTTCAATACCTGGCTGTGGTAGTAGTGAACAAAAACTTAAAGTTGAGTTAAAGGGAGATAACTGAAACATCTGGAAGAGGCATGCCACGTGGAACTAGAACAATCTACCTAGGTGGACGAAATAAAGGGTTCAGTTCGAAATCCCACTCACCTGAAGAAGGCTGGGGTGTACAAACGCCGAAACGTCGTGAACATGACAATAAAGATGAGGACAACCCTCCGAACAATGTAAATAATATAAATAATTACAATACTTCATATCAGAAATATAGACACATATAAAAGACAGGTTTGTTTTCCAAAGTTTCTTATTTTGATTTCTTTTGAGTTCATTATTGATTTAACGTCATAAAATATATCTAATATAAATCACAGGTTAAGTTTTAACACTTTTTCTAAGTGGGATCTATATCTATAATTCTCAAAATATTTATGTGTATGTATGTATGTATGTGTTTGTGTGTGTGATAGGATGTTGTTTTTCCGTTTCCACAGTTTTCATCCGATTTCGATAATATTTTTTTTTTTTTTTTTTTGTTGATAGATAATACTTCGCTGCCGGTTTTGAGTTCAAATTGGCTGGAAGTAATTACAACCTTGACGGTAATAAATCGAAAAAAACTGAATTTTTACACTTTGCGCAAAAATCAAAAGCAAAATTTAATGTCTGTAAAAAAAAGCGTAGAATCAATTTAGAGAGTTAAAATCTAACGCAAAAGATTATTATAATTATAAAAAAAATTATTATAGATAAAAATTATCGTATATTATTATTACGAAGTTCCATGGAAGAGGTTCCTTCCTTGCAAGATTTAGAACGCAAAAACGGCCCTTCTCAGCCACCCCTGCTTCAAATTGTTAACCCCACCCCATTTGGAGATGTAGCTCAGTTGCACCCAATTGTTTTACTAATATTGATTTTCGGGTTGGCTGACTTTAAACTCAAACTGCTCTAATTGAACGGCAAATATTCCCAGTAATGAAAGACCCGGTCGAAGACGGGTTATACTGCTAGTATATATGTATACTGTTAGTATATAATAATTGGGTAAAGTCGAACCAAGTTTTTTTATAATAATGTTCACCCAATACAAAGCCCAAGAACCACTCAAGGAAGAGGGTTACTCTGTGGTGCTGTATGCGCATAAAAAAGGCAAGAACTGCAATTCACGAGGTTATGTAGGAAAGTTAAAGGTTAACTCTATACTTGAAGAGGTCAAGATTGTAGTGAAATAATTCTACCGGGAGTCTGTTCCACAAAGCAGTGTTTTGGGGGAAGAAGCTGTCTGAGTGAAACTTACTCCTTACTAATGGAATATGAAGGGAATGATTCATTCTTGTGTGCGCGGTATGGCGGGTCCTAGTTGCAAAGGTCTGTGGAAAAGGGTTTGAAGGGTAGGAAATCATTAATCACCCACAAGGCCCCGTAGACGCTTTTGAACTCTATCCAAGACAAGCAAGTGAAATTCTGGCCAGCTCCAACCCAAATATGGTAGCAATACTCCATTTTTGGTTTGATCTGGCTATTGTACAGATAAAGTATAGCAGAGGGGAATCAGCGCGATACAACGAACCGACAATTTTTCTAGAATTTTTAGCAATAGATCGTTTATATGAATTTTAATTGAGGTCCCAACAGATGTTTAAGACAAACATATGCATGCAGACATACACACACACACACCTACGCATGCACAGTGCGTGTTTATTAGATAATTTCTAAACAAATAATAAACAAGTTACTAGGGAACATATCTATAAGAATGTATATAAACATGTTTTGATATTATATTTTTAGCTTAATATTATATTTATATATTTTTCTATTATTAACCCATTTTACTTACATAGTTTTAATTTTAAGAAAATGGATTAAATCCGACATATTGTTATTTTTAATTTATTTTGTTTAAGCGTTATTTTTAGTACGCATATTTTTCTGTCAAAATTTCTCGAATATTCAAGCCAGTAGATGTAGTTGGATAAAAATAACGTTTAATTATATAGTTTTCTTTTATTTTAATTTCGTTTCTGGGAACATTTGTAAAAACACTTTCGAGATCTAGGGAAGATAGTATGCTTTTGTTTATTTTAAGATGTATTTTTTGTGTCAAAATTATAGTGATTTTCCAAGCGTAGCTTAGATGTGGCACACGACCGAAAGTAGGGGCACTCAGTGAGGATCGAATTCACTACTTAGTTGTAATTGTTCTAGGGAGACAAGCTTGCTAACCATTACACCACCACGAGGTGCCCTGGTGCCAAAATTATAGCGAAACGTTTTCGCTAATATTTCAATATGCAGTAATCGCCCCTTTTCAGAACATTTAAGTTTAATTGATTTACATAAAATAATATTCAAATCAGCTGCTTCATAAATAAATAAATACGCAGAATAAATCGTTTCCTCATCGGAATAAAAAAACATTTACGTGGAATTTGTTTGCGTCTTTGTTAATCTGCAAGAGAGTGTGATTACCTCATTTTACTTCCGGTTCCGGTTATGTGATAGAGAAAAAAATTCGTTTTTCTTTTTCTTTTCTTTTTTTTTTAATAAAAATTATGTTTATGCACGTCTAGTAAAATTCTGTATCTCATGGTAGACGCTATTAACTCATCATTAACATTAACTAAATTCTCGAATCAAAGCAAAGCACAGCGGAAACTAATCAATCTGAGAGAATTAATGTGTCAGTTTTGAGGCCTTTGAGAATTTGAAGGGTTTTTTAAAAAGCAAACAACTTAGTTGCAATTAACGATGAATTTATTAGTTATTGAGTACAATCTGCTCACTATTAAGTTGACAGACAGATCGTGATAGCAACTATTCAGGTGATCAGGAACTTTCACCTTGAAAGCCGGATACGTAACAGAATTTCTTGTTTATGATGAAATCTCGCATTCGTCAGATGATAACACAATGAGAAGGCTTCCTTTTCAGTTTTATGAGAATAAAATAGACCTTTAAAGAATAATTTGGGCACTGAAATTAAAAATCTGGATTACTACAGGAAACATAGAACTCGATAAAATAGACAAATTATAAATCACGTAATTGTATTTTCGAATGAGAAAGCACTCATTAATATAAATAAATTTAAGTGTTGAGTAATATAATCACCTGAAAGACTTGCTTTTTAGTACGTGTTCAATTCAACGTTACGTTACCTTTGTGAAAGAGTTAAAAGAGGTAGACGTTTAATCTTAATAGTGTTTTTATTTAATTAAATCATCAGATTTTTCTAAAAAAAATTATCTGGTTTGTGGATGAAATAAACTGATGTATGCGAGAACAAACTAAGAAGTGACAAAGTAGAGGTAGGTGAAACACATAGCAATCACGGGTTAAGTTAAATTCTGAACAATTTGTTTTCTAAGTGAAATATATAATAGTTGTGAAAATTCAGACGAAGTGATGGACACTTATAGTTAACATCAGAAAGTGATAGTTGGAATTTCTAGGACACTTAATGAAGAAAGAGTATTGGAAAAATTTGACACCTACAGGACTTACTGAAGTCAAGTTGAACAGAGGAAAACAGCACATGCACTACCTAATTAGTTTGTGTAAATAGTTGACAGAACAGTAATTAGGAGAGATAGCGAAAAGACATTTACTAAGAGCGACAATGAACAGGAAATTGTGGTGAGCCATTATCGCTCACGTCCGGAAGAGACACGAATCATAGAAGAAGAATATACATGATCAAATATATTCGCTGCGGATATTTATCTCTAAACAATGCCTCCCATTCGAGTAGACTAGTTGATAACAGTTAGAATAAAGATATTACTTAAGAATAATCATACGACGGGAGAAATAGTATACACAAAATATATAAACCAAGCACTGAAAATTATTTCCACTAGTTTGTTTATGTTAGTCGCTTTGGTATGTAGCTTCCGTGTGTAATTCGTTACTTAAACTAGTAGGCGGAAGAGTCCAACATAGACTCTTTAGAGGGAGGACACCACAACAGTCCTGTTCACATTATTATTTAAATATCAAATGCTATGAATCTCAAGGTTTGACGACGGTTTCTTTCAAGTAGGGAGAGCATATGCCGGAGAACGCATATTTTTCTTTAGTAAGATTTCTCGAATATACCGGCCCGCAGACGAATGACCCACATAACAAAACTCATCATCTGTATTCTGAAGAATAGAGCGCGTAGCAGAATCAGGCCAGAGATAGGACAAGAACAGTGCGGATTCGTTAAAGACACCGGAACAAAGAACGCGATATTCATGCTCAGAATGTTATCAGAAAGAGCAATACTAAGGCAGAAGGACGTGTACCTATGTTTTATAGACTACGCCTTCGACAAAGTACGCCACAAAGATTTGTTGGAAATGATCAGCAAACTTGATATATTTGGAAAAAATATTAGAATAATCAAGAACCTATACTGGCAGCAAACAGCATGAATGCGCATAGAGAACGAGTTCAGCGAATATACAAAAATAAAAAGGGACGTAAGGCAAGGATGTGTCTTCTCACCGGACTTATTCAACCTATACAGCGAGGCAATTCTGAGAGAATTGGAAAT